AAGCTTTATATTATTCGCCAGCTCAATCAATACCTTCTCCTCCCCCTTATTCACCTTACTTCTATTAGATCTAACAAGATTCAGCTTATTAGATACAACCTCATTTTCCTTATTATTAAAACCACAACTTCACTGCACAGTTGTTACATCATCTTCTTTATAATCAATATGACTCTGCAGAATCTAACTAGTCCCCTTCTGCTTCATACTCCTTCCCCCTTTCTTCAGCTTAATCACAAACATGTCATCTTTATGGTCCTTACTAACATCCTTAGACACACCCTTCCCCTTACCACTACTCACCACATTCATAATAGACTCATTACAACGACTTTGAGTCTTCTTCGACCAATTCTCCTTCAATACCACTGTGACCTCTTCCCAAAATCTAACAGAATTAGGAGAGGTCCAAGTACCATACCTTGGCTTACTTGAATCAACAATTGACATTAACCTTTCTGATTTACAAGCACGCGGATCATGCCCGATCATTCTGTATTTGTAATAGAAATTCTGTAATCTCTCATACTTCATAGAGATCCAGGTCTTATCCTTGTCCGACTTTAGTAACTAAAAACTAGATACTAATGATTTTTGCATATTCAAAATGACACAAACTTTCAAGAAACCTCAAGATAATCTGCCATTAATCTACAGATTCTCCACCATCACAACCTCACCTACTCGTCTTCCAATCTGTACAGCATTTTCCAAATTCATCGCCGCCAAAGGCACATTATGCAACTGGATCTAAATTGGACTACAATTAAAATCTAACTCTTCCATTACCTCATACACCAATCATTGCTATATATTCAATAAATGGCCATTAATTAACTAAGGACAGATTAAGATGCTTAATGTTCGAAAATTTATCACACTCATGTGGCCATATTTTGAAGCCAAGACATTTTTTTATGTCTGACAAACTAAAGTTGCAGGTAGAGAAAGAAAGAAGCCATAAAAGAGGAGGAATCAAGGTTTGAAATGGGTTAGAATAGCAAAACTACCCTAAGTAAAGTTATAAACTTAATTTATGAATTATATATATAAAAAAGTCCTTGTCATTTTCCAAGTAAACCTAATTAATCTAAGATGGAATCCTCTGCTCAATTTAACAATAACTGGTTAAGAGTCAAAAATTAAAAGATAAAAATATTGGTTTTAAATTTTAAAAGATGAGAGATTATATGCAACTGACTTAAAATTAAGAAGAGTTATATATATATATATATATATCTAGATATTCAGCAAAACAAAAACAACACACTTTAAAAGGTGCAAGAGTGATTTCAATTTGAAGCCCCTAATTGAAGCAAGTCATTAGCCTTAGGTTAAAAACCATTTAAATGGTTTATTATTTTAGTTGGCAAAAAAAAAACAACTAATAGTTTTCACTAAAACAATGGTTCCCAACCTAAAATTAAACACGTAGTGTCATCATGTTTCATTTTTCTACATCCATGCGTTAGGAAAAGTTCAAGATAAACTTAAGCAAAGTAGAGAACCATTAATAAGGGTAAAAATGAAAGGTGAAAAACTTAAAAAGGGGTGGTTTGAATAGGTGAAGGATATAGTCCAATCCAATGTCAATGGTCATTGGCTCATTGACCTAAGTAAATAAATGGTGAAAGCTTATTGAGAAGACTTGGTTGACATTTTTAATGGAGGAAATATTTGTGCCCCTATTTGGTATACTAGAAATGGGGAGCATGGAAATAGAATTGAAATTGAAATTCAAATTTTAAGTTGTTTGGTATGTTATATCTTAATTTCATGTGAAATTCAGTTCAATAAAAAATGACAAAAATAAGTTCCATTTGCTTACCCAAGGAATTTTAAAAACATTCCACAGAAGCTAAATTTGTCTAATCATTTTTGTCCTCCTTATTTTTAGAGTCCTTGTCTCCCATGATCACTAGACCAACAAAACAACCTTTAAGAATCTCTAGCAAACTTCTCACCTAGTGTCAACAAGCTTCTCAATGATGGCGACCTCCGACAATCAATTAAGATAACCTCCGTCTTGCAACTCGTCATCAGACCTAGTAACTATGGTATTCCACATCTTTAACCAATCAATTTTACAGACCTCTAGCATCTGCACTGATGAAGGTTTGACAAAAACCTCCTTTTTCATCCCCCTTCTTTGTGTTGAACCTTGACCTTCTTAGCAATGGCAATGGTGCTCACTAATTTGCTATTGAAAAAAATAGAGTTTAAAAAAAACAGACCCCATTGAGATTGTATTTAGCGGCTTACTTTGTCTTGACCCTATTGTAAACTAGAGATATATAATTTAAAATAGATCACAAATCATTCATCTCCTTTAATTTTTGGAAATGGATGATGTTTCTAAAAGGTTAATCTCTGCCTTTCCATTTCAAGATGGTTATTGAGAGGTTAATTATTATTCAAATGTCTAGGTTCATTAATAAATTTTTTGTTATGAGTTCAATGATAAATTTTTTTCTTATGAGGTATCTTGGTCATTTCATATATTAAATAAATAAAATAATTAAGAATTACATATGATTTTCATGATTATACCAAACATATTTTTATGCCTCGTATTCATTTCCAATTTCATAGTTATATCCATTTCCATCTATATCAAAATCTCTTCCAACACATGAAATGGGCACAATTGCAAAAATTATAAAAACCAATTAACTTCTTTATATTCATATATGTTGCCTGAAATATAAAACTATTAGTAAGACTGTACAATATAAAAAAAATATGGAATCATCTATTCTTTTAAAGTTTCTTATTTAACATAATTTATACTTGTACAAAATATTTTAGCAAAACTCTTACTACAATATACTACTACATTTTAATTAATTTAAATACTATAAATTACTATATGCTGCAAGTTTTAGGATTTAAATTTAAATTTGTCTAATTTTCAATGGCATGTGGCCACAGAGAATTGAAAGGCATGTAGATAGTTATCTTTTATAATAAGCTAGGTCATTGGCAAACCGTATGCAACACTTGCTTAAATTTCTTTATTATATTTTAAATTAAAATGTTACATGCCAATGACAAATATGGAAATCGTAGTTTTATTTTTGATAAGGAGCGAAAGTTTATGCTATTCTATCAATCATCAATCAATTATATTCTTAAATGTTGAATTGAAAATGAAATATATAATATCCGATCAGTTCTTTCATCAAAGTCCAGACATCCTTCTTTGTTTTAACATTAAGATGCTTCTGTCATCTACAATTGCTAGAAAATTTATCATGATCATGAGCTCATATTTTGAAGGCAATACATTTTATTTTTTTTTTCTTTTTTTAATGTTTGATATACAAAAGTTGGAAGTAGAGAGGGGAAGAGGCGAGAAAGGGGGAGGAATCAAGGTTTGAAATAGGCAGAATAACAAAACTACCCTTGGGCAAATCTATAAACTTGATTATGAATACACACACACATAAACTCCACGTCATTTGCCAAGTAAATCTAATTAATCTAAGATGGAATATTCTATTAAATTTAACAGTAAGGGGTTAAGAGTCAAAATTTGAAAGATAAAGATATGGGTTTTAAATTTTAAAAGATAAGGGGATTATATATATCTAGCATAAAAATTAAGGAGAATTTGTATATTTTGGTTAAAAAAACAGCAACAACAACAACACTGCACTTTAAAAGCTTTAAGATTGATTTCAATTTCAAGTCTAAATTTGAAGCAACTTATTAATTTTTGGTTGAAAACCATTAAAATTATTATTATCATTTTGATTGGGGGAAAAAACAACTACCAGTTTTCACTAAAATGATGGTTTCCAACCTAAAATTAATTAAACACACAATGTCATGATATTTCATTTTTTTTGCATCTAAGCATCTAATGTTATTAAATTTCAACATGAACTTTTTAAGGACCAATTTTAGCATGAACTCATGCAAAGTGGATAACCATTAGTAAGGGTAAAAAAGAAAGTGGAGAACTCAAAAGGGGAAGGTTTGAATAGGTGAAGCATCTGCCTAACCCATTGTCGATAGTCATCACTCCAAGACCGTAATAAACAAATGGTGGAGGCTCATGGAGAATATATGTTATTAACAATATGGGGAAATATATATTGTTAACAATTGCAACAAAATATAAAAATCAAATGACTTCGCAACCATATTTTATATCCATATAATTTTGACATTTTTTTGCCTCAAATATGAAATTGTTAGTAAAATGGCACAATATGAAATATGGAATCATTTGTTGCTTTGAAGTTCTTCCTTATTTAACATAATTTATATTTGTGCAAAATATTTCATCAAAACTCTTGCGATATAATAGTACATTTTAATTGATGTAAATTTTGTAAATTACTACATATTGTAATTTTTAGGATCTAAAGTTGTCTAATTTCCATTGGCAGGTAGTCACATAAAATTGTAATGCATGTAGATGGTTGTCTTTTGCGGTAGAACTGGGTTATTGGCTAAGTGTATTGCTAACACATACTTAACTTTTTTTTATTATATTTAAAATTAAAATGTTGCACATCAATGACAAATATTGAAACAATAGTTTTTTTTTCAACTAAGAGGGAAAGTTTATGTTATTCTGTCAATTGCCAATCAATTATATTCTTAAATTTTGAAATTGAAAATGAAATATATGATATACGGTCAACATCCAGATCAATTGCCATGGACGCATATAGGAAAAAAGATTTCTAAACTAAGGAAGTCTTTATCTAAAATTAGATAATGATAATAGAGGGGTGCAAAGAAAACAAGGATGGATAAGCTAAATGACCGAAAGATAATGCAAGAAACATGTTACAAAGCTTAATTGACTCAATCAAGGCCATAATACAAACCATTCATTATAAGAGCTACTATAACTCTATAGGTGGAGAATTTTATGGCAATAAGGGTGATGCTTAGAAAATATTGGAGGATCACTCGTTCACCATTTAACGCATCAATATAATGTCTCATTTATTTTCCTTCTTAAGTAAGTCTTTCAAGTTGCCTTAGCCTTCCTAAGGGGGGCAGTGCACTTCATACTTCTTAAAATGCAGGTCTTGTGTTGTTTTTTATTTTTGTCATTCCTTCTCGCATCTATAGCCTTCTCAACTTCTCTTTCTAATGTTGAGATCTCCTTTATTGCTCGTCGACAATTATTAACACTTCGTGAAAATGAAGGTTTGCCTGAAAATTATGCAAATACTTACAAAACAAACCTAACTTTTCCCAATGATAGACTTAAAAGTGCTTATATTGCACTCCAAGCATGGAAAACTGCGATGTATTCAGACCCTTTCGAGACTACCAAGAATTGGGTAGGACAAGATGTTTGTTCCTACAATGGAGTTTTTTGTGCCTCAGCTTTGGATGATCCAAACATCACTGTTGTGGCTGGAGTTGATCTTAACCATGCAGATATTGCAGGCTATATTCCTGTCGAAATTGGTTTAATGGTCGACCTTGCTTTAATTCACATTAACTCTAATAGGTTTTGTGGGATTCTTCCCCATAGCTTCTCCAAGCTTAAGCTTTTATATGAGCTAGATATTAGCAATAATCGCTTTGTTGGGCCATTTCCAGAGTGTATACTACCAATTCCTGATCTTAAATACATTGACCTTAGATACAATAACTTTGAAGGCCAACTTCCTTTAGAGCTTTTTAATAAGCCTGCCGATGCTATATTTTTGAACAATAATCGATTTACATCCACAATTCCTGAAAATTTAGGGAATTCTTTAGCCTCTGTAATAGTGTTTTCCAATAACCATTTTGAAGGTTGCATTCCTAAAAGCATTGGTAAGATGGAAAAAACATTGAATGAGATTGTGTTCAGCAATAACAATCTCACTGGATGCCTGCCAACAGAAATTGGAAAGCTCGAAAGTGTAACAGTTTTTGATGTAAGTGAAAACCTATTTGGTGGCATCTTGCCTAAATCTTGTGACGGACTCAAAAAGGTAGAAGTGATATCAATTGCCCACAATAAGTTCACAGGTTTTGTCCCACAAAGTATATGTAGCTTGCCTAGCTTGGTGAATTTTACATTTGCCGATAATTATTTCAATGGTGAGGAGCAAGGTTGTGCACCTTCTTCTAGAAAGAATGTCGTGTTTGATGATACTGATAATTGCTTGCCAAATAAGTCAAAGCAAAAAGAAGCAAATGTCTGCTCTGTTGTGACGAGCAAGCCTATCGACTGTAGTAAGCAACAATGTGGCTATCCATCCTTAGTTTCAAAACCACAACCCCCTAAAGAAGAACCTACCAAGCCACAACTGAAACCCCATCCACCTAAAGAGGAACACCCTGAACCTCAGACACCTCCACAGCAACCTCCTAAAACACAACCTCCCCATCCACCTAAAGAAGAACAACCAAAAGAGCAAACTCCTCCTAAACCTCAGCCTCCTCAACCTAGCCCTGTATCACCAAAAGCACCATCTCCTGATCCTTTTGATAGAAACCCTAAACACCCCCACCGACCAAACTCACCACCATCTCAATCTCCCTTATCCCCAACTTACTCTCCACCACACCAGACTCAATCTCCAACCCCACTAGTTCACTCCTCTCCACCACCAGTCTACTCTCCACCTCTACCAGTTCACTCCCCTACACCTCCACCTCCTATATACTCACCACCTCTACCCTTAGTCTACTCTCCCCCACCTTCACCTCCTATATACTCGCCACCTCCACCCTTAGTGTACTCTCCCCCACCTCTACCCCATGTTCATTCTCCCCCACCTCCTATATACTCCCCACCACCTTCGATATACTCTCCACCTCCACCACCTATTCACTCTCCACCACCTCCATTTTTTTCACCTCCACCACCGATTTATTCTCCCCCACTTCCAATCTATTCTCCTCCACCTCCGATACACTCCCCACCACCTCCAATTTTCTCCCCACCACCTCCTGTCCACTCTCCTCCTCTGGTCCCAGTTTTCTCCTCACCTCCACCACCTATCCTCTCTCCCCCTCCCCTTACTTTATCTCCACCACCTTCTCCTCCTCCTTCAGATGATAACATCATTCTTCCTCCAGTTTTTGGTGCCTCATATGCATCACCCCCTCCGCCGATCATCTCTGGCTACTAAATGGAGCCTAATCAAATTCTTTGCAATACATGAAATCTTAAAAGTTGGTCACTTTACATGCCTTAACTGGTCTTCTGACGCCATTGTAATGCATGCCAGATTGTAATTGGAAGAAGAGTTGTTGTAACAATATATCATATTGTTTTTTAAATTTTTATTCACATGTTTCTCTTATATTTACACTTCTTTTGCTCAAATCACAACTACTTGCCTCTTGCTACAGCTTGCGGCCGCACGATCCAGCTTATAGTATAATAAACTATAATTAAGGCCTATTGTCTTCAATCATGTATAATTCAAGGTTACTAGTACCTAAAGGAAGTTTTAGAGTTTCAATTCATATTTTTATAAGGTTTTTATTTAATTTTTAGAATGTCAAATTTAATGTGATTGATTTGTTTTATAAAAACGACCAAATGATTTTTTCTCAAGGTCCACGGTGTAAATTAACTGAAATTAATGTAATTGACTTAATTAAAAAATTTCAACTAATTTAAGATGATCTGTGGCCTTGAAAACTGATACATGCAATGATAAAATTGACAAGAGAGCAATACTATTTATACAAATTTTCATGAACATAAAACAAAAAAGGACTAATGTATAAATTTATGCTAACGTTTTTGGTCAAAGGCAATTAATATACTAACATATTTAATAGCACAATTTGACCCTCAATTTTTCTTTTTTCGAAATACACGGCCAATGAAGAGGCTAAAATTAAATTACATCAAAAGTTAAAAAACTTTTATAACTAATAGACAATTTGTTAAATAAGATATATTAAAATGATTAAGGGTTAAAAAGTGGGTATATCTGACAACAATTTTAATGTATTTATTTTTAACACGCGCCCTCAAATTGTAGAGATTTTTTATATGTTAATATGACTTAATATGTCAGTTAATACAGTTTAAAAAAAAAATGGGCACATCAATTTCTTGATGTTTTCTCAAAACGATGCAATTTTGTCCTTTGTTAATAAATTCAGATTTTGCGGCTAGTTTGACTGTGAAATGTCACACAAGTCACGTGGGCCCCACGCATTAATGCCATGAAAGCCAAGAACAATTTATCATTGCCACGTGTTCAATCTTCTTTTACTTCCTCGCCAAAAGATTTTCTTTCATCCGGCAGCCATGGGCCATGGCTTTTCTGACCGATAACACATCAGATTCATCATCATATATTCAAACCCAGACCCGGCACCCACTCAACCCAAAAGAGGATTTCAACTCTGATTAAATGGTTTTAGTATATTCAAGATTAAATCGAGTAAACAGCTGAAAGGATTCAAGCAAATATATTGAATCGCAACTCAAATCTATGATTCCAAACAACGATTTCAACATGGCTTCTTAACAAGCATGTCCTTCAAAGAAGGTGATTGAAACTTTACAGACCCAGACCCCGAGCCGAGACAAGCAGAAGACTATTGAAATTTCACAAACTAAGACAAGCACCGTGTGGCGAGGATATGGCGAGTGGGCAACCATATCTGAACGACATCGCTGAGAATCGACGTTGCCAATGATCGAAGCCATCAACTTGGGTCTGGGAAAGGGAGAAGGGCGAGGATATGACGAGTGGGTGACTGAGATTTGGAGGGAGTCAGAGTTCATATCTTGAACGAGGTTGACGGTGCGTTGAATGCACAGAACACCCACTCCACCGATGCACATCAAGGTCCTGCATTTTGCTAATCTTGTGCAGTAATGTTGTCGAAGGAAAGTGCGGTAATAGCTGATGAGATCTTTATTTTTTGAATTCTGGGTTGGGTTTCTTTCTTTCTTTCTTTTCCTTTTTTTTTTAATAAAGAAACACAAGTAAATGCGCTTTTGTTACGGTGATGAAAGATTCTGGGGATAACTCATGATTCACTTTCTGGAGATCATCCGCGAGATTGTGAAAGAGAAGAGGAGGAAGACGATCAGGTGGGACCCACTTATATTTTATTATTATTATTATTATTATTACACCTGTTAAGTTTCAATATAGGGATGAGAAAACATGATGCAGACAATTTATGAGGATGCCACGTCAGCTTAAATAAGCTAACGTGCGGTGAAAAGTTTAATTCAGTTGCCTTTGAGTAAAATTATACTCCTCCCACCTTAAATTATAAAACATTTTTAAAATAAATTTAAATTTTTAAAATATAAAATATTTTTTAAAAATTAAAAGTTTACTAAATAAATTTATTTTAATATTATATTTTTATAATTAATTTTTATTTTTTTCAATGTATTAAATAATAAGTATTTTTAAAAATTTATTTTTTTATTTTAAAACGATAAGACTGTTAAATATATTTAATAAGATTTATTAATATATAAAGTTATATTTAAAAATATCTTATAATTTAAAATAAAAGAAGTAAAGTTTTACAAACGTTGGAATGACATTATAGCTTTAAATATTTTAAAGGGGTAAGATTGATTTACCTAATTTTATATGCTTAAGATATTTGTATTCAATTAAATCATGTGAATTTTAATATATTACTTTAATTAATGATAATAATTTATTATAAAATAAATAATCTATAAAAAATTTACATATGTTAATTTAATTAGATATAAGCACTTTAAAAATATAAAATTAAGTATATAAGCTTTTTTTTCATTTTAAAATATCAATTAAAAAATTTTCAGGATAAATTTATACTTTAATCCAATAAAAAAATGCTAACGTTGAATTGTCGTCTTTATTTGTTGTCCCACAGTTTACAGCATAAAATCGTGACAAATATGTTACATTAACCAAGAATCCATACTTCTTGTTTCCAGAAATCTGAACAGGAAAAATCGATTTGGCGTGAATCGTTTTCTTCTGAAAACTATCACAGGGTTAGTGGAATCCGCAGGAAACGACCGCCCATGGAGGAGATAAATTTCAAGGGTCAAGAATCAGAAACTCAGGTAACCTGACCCTACATGCACCCAGTGGCGGAGTCAAGACTCGGATTCAGAAAGTGCAATATAATTAAAAATAAATTATTTTAAAAATAAAATAAAATATTTAATAATTAATTTCATATCATATAATTGTGATTTCATATTTAAAAAACATTGAATACGAAATTAAAAATAAATAATTTTTAAAAAATTGTTTGAACTTTTTTATTTGATATATGAAAATGAAAATAATAATGACATATTCAATATAAAATCAGTGAGTTTGAAATTTATATTTAAAATTTATTAAGTTGTGATATGTGAGTTAAGTTATGACACAAACATATATGGCATGTATAAAAAACTATTTAAATAAAATATAGTTAGGTATAAAACAAGAACAAATGACTTCAAATAATAAGTGTGAGGTGTGCAAAATATCTTGAACAGAAAATATAAAAACTTAAATATTATAAAATCTAGAAGTAAAATAAAGTATTTACATTTTTTAATGTAAAATAAGATTATCTTGTAAAATGAATAGAAATTATGTGAAGAGGACGGACTAGCCAAGCGAGGTGCACGATTCCAGCTTTCCCTTCCTTATGTGGCATGATTATTCTCAACACTTAACTATTTCTAGTTTCTCTCTCCATGGCCGCGCCTCTTATACATGTTAAATTACCACCACTGTTAAGGGGTGCATCTCCCCAGCGCCCCCCCCCCCCTTCGGAATTAACGCGGCTCCGCCATTGCATGCACCCATTACCCTCCAAGCCCATTCCTTTTCTTTTCTTTTTTTTTTTAAGAAAATCTATTTAAAAATAAATAATGAGATTTATTTGGCAAAGTTTATGTACTCCTTTAAAAAATTAATATTTAAAAAAATAAAATATTTTTAATCTTTTAAGATATAATCATTATTTTTTAAAAAATATTTTTATTGATAAATAATTTTATATTTATTGTAGGATATTTAGTAAAAATAAATAAAAAAATTAATTTAAAAATAAATAATTATTTTATTAAAAGGTGGAATAAAAGCGGAGGAGGGAGTATATATATTATGGTGTGCTGTTTTTGATTTCCAGGGTAAATCCTGCATAAAGTATTTGCAATCATAGTGCTTTAAAATAAAATAAAAAATTTTCGCGGCATGTTATTTAAAAAATAAATAACTAATTAATTAATAGAGGTAAAATTGTTGCGATGGTAGAAGATAAGAAATCCCAAAATCAAGATGTGACTGAAGCCCAACGTGAACGTAATCTTCGGTTCTTTGTCGGTTGCCGTGGTGTATCTCTTGTTATCGGATAAAGCTAAGGACTAAGGAGGGAATCTTTCTGCCCAGCAGTTCCCACTCATTACTGCAAAAGGGAATCTTTTTTTCTTTCTTTCTTTCTTTCTTTTTTTTTTTTTTTAAACGCAACGGGGAATCTTTTGGTGCCAAGTGCATGCTTTATTAATATTTGCTTTATTATTAAAATATTTAGCATAATAGGCAGAGACGGATCTAGAACACACTTCATGGAGCCCACAATACAAAATTACTTTATAATGGGACACCAAAATTAATTTTAACATTTTTAACGTTAAAAAACATATAATATTAACAATTTTTTTTTAAAAAAAAAAAACTTGAGGGGCAAGCGCCCCTGGTTGCCCCATGTGAATTCGTCTCTGAAATTAATAGGATCACGCCCCACGCCCCAAATGGCCAAACCAAACACATATCCTTGAGGGTGTTTTTGGGAGGAAAAAATTTATATTTTTAGCCTTAAACATTTAAAAAATTTATTTCTAATTAAATAAAAAATATGTGAATTCTTTATCTATTATTTATCCTATAACAAACTCTTATTATAAATATTATTAACACATTAAAATTTTACTTGTTTTAATTTAATTGAATAAAAATAAGTATTGTCCTTTTTAGAATTGTGTTGAAAAATTAAGTTTTGTGGTAACTAATTTATATAATTGAATTTGACTGTAATTAAAAAATAGGATTGAAAGTCAAATAAAATCATAGTTTTGTAAAAATATTTTAAACAAATTGCTTGTTGAAATTAATTTTGAATAAAAAATCATGATTTTCTTAAAATTATTCAAATAACTCTATTATATATTAAAATCAATTATAAACTTAAAATTATAATTTTTTTAAATATCTAAATCCTCATAATAAAATTATATAAAATTACAATAACTTTTTGGTATACCACAATTAAGAAAATAAACTGTACAACATTTTCTTAATTGACTTAAATTCCTTTTTTTTTTGTTTGATTGCAACAAAAAATCTAGTATAATTAATAATGGTAT